AAAAAAAAAAAAAAAAAAAAAAGAAAAATATGAAAATAATAGATATTGATGTAAAATGATCATTGAGAACGGCTTCAAATATTTGATAATAGATTATTAGATAAGTTTGATCAATTTTCAAATAGTACAAAAGGGAAAATGATTAAGAAAAATAATTCTAATCTATGTTTAATAAACGTACATATAATAGATGAACACGTAAAAAAAAAAAGGTTAATAATTCGTTAAACGAATTTGAAATAATCCTGTATTATTATATGTATCTATAAGATGTTAGATCTACCCATTGCTACTATGTGGAAGCGCTTCGTAGCAACTTGCCATTAAGTTTTATCGGAATTGTGTCCCAGTTTTGTGATAAAAAATCGGATGCGTTCCCATAAGGAACGATTCGATCGTGAATCCGCTTATCTTGTATATATATTATGGATAGCAATTGTATTATGCGGTGAAATGGATATTCCATTTGAATGCGTTTGTTTTCTGGCTAAGCGAAGCCATGATTTTTAAAACTATAAAACGGGCCGATTTCGTGTCTTCATTGTTTTCTTTTTTTTTTTTTTGTGTTATGATTACAGATGCACTTGGATCAAAAAAGCCACTTGGATCAAGCCTGTCAGATTTTTATTTTTATGAAAAATTTAAAAATTCGAAGAAAAGAATTCGAAATAAAATAAAATCTTTTCTTTTGATTCGATTAAATCAGGCTAGGTTTGCCGTGGAAAATAGGCCGGGATTGTGCATCTGCATTCGATCGATCGAAACAAAATGTCGAAGAAAAAAATAACTCACGAAGAAATATTCTCAAAAGAAACATTTCATGTTTTTTTTTTTACCATCGCCAGAGAGTACCATCCACGAGAAAGAACGTAGATCGTTAAATTGTCCGATGCGTTCCTCATGTTGCATCACGAAATGCTCCCAATTGTCAGTATGATCGAAATCACCATTAAGAAACGTAGGAACGAAATCATAATTAAGCATGATCTTAATTACATACGTTAGAAACAATAACGAAATATTAATGACGTATTAGTTATAGATTTAAGGATCATTGTAGTCGATAATTTAACGTTAAGTATTCCACAAAATTTATTTTTCATAGATAGATCCCTTGTTTCTTTTCTTTCTTTCTTTCTTTCTTTCTTTTTTTTTTCAGATTAAAAAAAAAAAAAAGAAAAAAAAGAACTGAAAGCAAAATGGTTATTATACATATATATGTTTATCTTTTCGCGAAAATTCATAATCGGTTATAAGTATGAAGGGGAAAAAATAATATTGTTTTATTCATATAAAATAATTCTAAAAGGAAAAAAAAAAGAGACTCTATCATAAATAGAATATTGAATCAGTATTTTATTGCCCGAATTCAATTGTATTATGCGGTAATTATTAACGATCGTTCGATGATCACGTATGATGAACATACTGACCTATTGTAATATCGTCCCTCTCGACAGTATGTTAGTACTTATTCCGTCCATCAATCGATAAGATTGCTCAAGAATCTTTAACATAAGATTAGAGTATCAATAAAACGTATGTCGTACTT